TGGAGTTGTACGACGCTGGCTTTTCTGCTCCGGCCAGCTTGCTAGGCGCCTGCAGCTTTACCTTGGCGCAGCCCAGGCGATGGAAAACAGCAGTGTCCGAGTGAGTGAACTTTCATGCGACAGGCAGCCCTTACCTCCAGCATGGAACTCAACAACTGTCGTAGATCCGAATTTTCTGCTTGCAATGTGTAGCAAGATTGCCATGCTGCTGCCCCAGGGCATTAGCTGGAAGCAGGGTCGACCCCTGCTCCTTCCACTCCTGCATGGCCCGTCTTGTAATAGGGGTCCTCTAATGCTCCATGGATGTAGTCGGGGACCCGAACCATGTGGATAGCGGAGAGGCTGTAAGAGGGGATCTTCTCAACGTCTTTACTTGTTCCCAAACCGGCTCCCTGATCCGGCACCTCAGCAAACCCGGAAGTGTGGAGTACCACACAACCTCCTTATTAACATCCTCCTGTCTGGTCTGAGGTCCGCCTTGAGGTATCTCTTGTCCAGCAGCGCCCGCTGTTTCATCTGCCCATGCAGCCCCTCGTGCACGACTTTGCAACGCCTGCACTAAGGCTGTTCTCTGAGCAGCTAACTGAGACATCGCCTTCTGAGCTTCCGTTGACAGTCGCATACCAGATACAGCAACTCGTCCTTGCAGAGGGACATCGCCTGCACTACGAGAGGCATTCTCAGAGAGCATTTGAGGGCGTTCTGCTTCCGCTTGCTGCCTAGCTGCTGGTGTTTGTGCTAGCTGTGCTTCTGCTGGAGCGTGGGTGACAGGTGAAACATGCTCAGGTGCTGTGATGACCACCTGGATTGCAAAGCCCTAACCTTACCCTGAACATGTCCTGTCCAGACGTCGCGTCCGGTCCGGTTTCGCGCGCAAGCGTTGCTGTTCCCAGTCCGGTTTCGTAGGTACCAACCACAGGCTGACCACCAAGCCCAGTCTCCAAGGCAAAACCACCAAAAGCACCTGACATACCAGAAGCTTGCCGTCGCTCAGGCCCCTGCGGGTTATTCAGGCCTGGGGCTTGAGGAAGAACTCCATTTGCTAGAGGCCTGTTTGTTGTCGCTGAGGCTGTGGCGCCGTAGCTCACAGGCATCTGGCGGAAAAACCCACCATGCGAACCATCTGTACCACTCTCCGCAGTAGTAACGTTTGGGCTCATACCCTGATGAGAAGGGTATGGACCTGGATCTGAACTCTGATGATGGTACAAGGAGTTCGCCATGCTGCAGTCACTGACCAGCCATTGCGCACGTTGCGATAGCATTTCTTTTTCGGGAACACAAACAAGACATGCTGTGCTATGCTGTCGTCTGCTGAACGCTTATGGCTTTGACTTTACAAGACTCCGCATGGCCCAAGGCATTATTCCGCAGCCACGCTTAGAGGGCCTAGAGCGAGCCCACAGCCAGCGTATCCAACCTGTTACAAGCTGCTTCCATGTCAGCAAAACATTTTTCCCGTCGTGGTTTGCCCGGCCCTCTCTAGACCGCTTCAAAGGTGAAGGGAGTAACCGCGGCACATGACCCATGACGCTCCCAAGACTTCGCGAAGCAGATGACGCTCAGCACTCTCCCTGTATCATTGTGACAAAGGTTCTGACACCATGCCGATGGCATCGTGGGCTGCGTAAGGTAGAAACGAGTCCCAGCTGGTGCTCATGATTCATGTTGCTGGGTGTGATGGTGACTAACAGATCCAGGCCATCTGACGGCATTGAGAGCTGCTTAACGGACAATGGGTGCCAGGACGGTTTCAGCAGGCAAGGATCCGGGTCATGAAGGCCTGTGTGGACGAGAAACACGACCCCAGTGATGCCAATGATGCTGGGTGTGATGGTGACAAGAGATGGCTAAGAGGTACGGATTGGGGTCATCCGATGGCATGAAGCGCTGTGTCAAGCAATCTTGCTTGTGTTTGGCATGAGGTTGGCATGGGGTGGTTGAGAGACGTGGATTAGGGCGATCGTGTGGCACCGAAGTCCGCATAAAGGAGGAATGGGACCATGCTGATGTTCATGATGCCTGGCGTGAACAAGAATGAGCCTGCTGACGCCTGCTAATGCTCATGACACTCGCTCTGGTGACGCAGGGTGCTTGATAAAGCTGACAGACGCCGAGTAGAGTGCTCCAAGGTTTTCAGCGGCTGCATGAAGAACGGGTGCTTATGATTACCTCTTATTCTGCTTGAAGTTGCAGTGCCCGCGCCACGCCCATGCGCATGCCATTGTTGAGTGTCAGGACGTGGAATCAGTTCCCACAGCCACCAGGCTTCACAGGCTTCGCAGGCTTCACCTGCCATGACCTTGGGCTAGGACTCCGACATGTCAACATCAGGTCTAATCGGGGTTCAGGATACCTCCAATGCACCAATGCACTCAGGATCCACTTCCCGAGTCCCACATGCTGCTCGCATCAGCTTTGACTGGAGTAGAGTGGCCAAGCAGCAAGTAAATCCAACCCTGTAGAATTCACTTACGAGGGTTTGAAGAATTAGTTGGGGCTCACATCAAGATAGCCCGCGGAGGTGGCTGCGCTTCAGCTGTCGTCTGCTTCTGCTCCTGGCACACCGGCCTCCATCGATCTTGATCTTGTTAAGTTGTAAGTTGGTCTAGAAGATGCCTTTTAGCCTAGGCCAAATACAGCTTCGAGAAACACGCGTCTTCAGAGCTCAAGGCGGCCCTGCAGGCCACGAGCTGCAACATGAAACATGAAAGTTTATGTCTGTATCTGCAGCTCTCAGCTCCGCCTGAGTGTCAGGCGCTGCCGCCCGCCAAGGGAAGCGACGTGCGCTGGACTGAGCATCAACGAAACAAAGCCTTCGATTCTCAAGCTGTGCACCAAGAGATTGCCTGCACAATCCTAGGCGCAATGGCTTTTTGAGCCTGCTCCACCAGACTTCCAATGACTGCGAGGAGCGGGGCTCAGGTGACAACACTTGATAAGAGCTACACAACCGAATGCCGGAAGACGGGTCGTTTGTGACTTCTGACATGTTTCGCTGCAAAAGGAAGAACGGTCGTAGTTGTTGTATCCTCCCAACCTCCGACCCTCGTAAAGTGCACTTTCACAGTTTTCGGAGCCTGGTTTCTCCAACCCTTCGCACTTGCATGCGTGTGCTCCTCGCAGAGTGCCGAACTGTCGTCACTTTCGAGGCCCGGATCCTTTGACCCTCCACGTGTTGCTGTCAGTTTGGGACCCCCGATCCCTCCTTCAAGGTCCGCCTTCAGGACCCCAAGACCCCCTCTCACCACCTGAGGTCCCGAAACAACAAAGCTTACAAGGTTGTTGACGCAGACCCCCGACGAAAGTGCAAGGATGGCAACGCAACCGGCGACGCAACCTGCCAGATGACTGTGATTGTTAGCACGTCTGAGTCTGACTCGAGATAGTGAACAGATTTGCACTCGCAAAGACTCGCACAGAGCGCTTCGCACAAGCTGCGGATGCTCCCAGCCCCCCATCTCTCAATGGGAACCCCTTTTGGCTCTGCATTCGGTAAGACCGGGCTGTGAGGAGACGCCGGATTCGGAGGTGTCGCTACCTCTGCACGCAGGAAGCCCCAGTTCGGTGGAGATCTGGCAATTGCTCTGCAGCTGTGCAGCGCTGTCGCAAGTGCTGTAGACAATTGCTCCACCGAGGTTGCCAAGGCGAAGCTTTGCGCAGCTATGCGCAGCTGGTAGCTCTACAGGCTCTGCCCTACCTTTCAAAGAAGCGCATTTCGGAGAGGCGCTCTGGTCTGGCGGCCTGCCGTCGCCTCAACAGAACGCAATTGGTCTTGGGTTGTTGCAGCTTGCAATTTTTTATTGCTCTGAGCTCTCCTTTCTCTTCTGAGGCGGCTGGGCACGGCCCTGGAGCTTCCGCCCTGGGACGCCTGCGCCTCCTGCGCCTGCGAGTGAAGCCGCTCTGCAGTCGCAAGCGCGGCTCCACCGCTCCCCAGAAGCGGTTTGCTTTTCCGGCAGAAGGAGACTGGGGAGGAGACACGAGAAGAAGGAGTTCCGAGACGGTGTTTCACCATGGCTCACCTAGGAGGTCCGGAAGAAGAAGATCCGGAAATCCGTTTCTCAGAAAAACGGGGCAAAGCACGTGAGCTCGGTTCGGAGAATTTCTGAGGACGACAGGAGTCCATCCGATGGTTCCGTCGGGCACGGCAGCTCGCGAAAGGACGTGTCAAAAAGACAGCGAAGGCGAAAAAGCGTCGGCTGCATGAGTTTCGACATTTTCAGGTCAAGCTTTCTTTGAAGCCTGTCACTTATACTTCCGCAGCTGTTCGACAGCCGTCAGGAAGCAACCAGATCTGTCCAACCCCGCGGGAGTTCTCAGCACCATTCCAAGCCAGCCCTAGCTTGACAGCTTGGCCCCTTCAAGGAGGCCGTCGGACCGCTTAGACCGCTTCGTGTGACCTTCATTCTTCATCCGCTGTTGCTCTGCCGCCATGGAGCTTCTGATGGCAGCTGGCCTCGGGGCCAAGGCTCACCTGAGCTGATGATTGATTTGCATGAATAGGTTCTTCTTCAACGCAACTCACTGACATGTTCGTGTTCTTTCACTTTCACTTTCAGGAGCTCTTCACTTACAACCGTGAGAACTTCAAGTTCGATCAAGATCAGAGGATCGAGCGCGAGGCGAGGGTTGGGAGACGGGGTGCAAGCAGGCATGAAAGCAGGTAAAGGCAGGTAGGCAAAGTGGCTAAATGGAGGCTCTTCGGTTGGAGATGCAAGTGAAGCGCTTCGAGCTCTTCAGAGAGGAGCGTTCTGGGTCAGCATGTGTCTTGGGCGTCAGATTTCGTTGGAGGACGTGCGCGACTTGGTGGAGCTCACAGTGGACCGCATGGACGTCTATCACTTGGCACGCAGCCTCAGACCGAAACTGCTAAGCTCTCATTAGTCTTGGTGTCTGTTCAAAGAAAAAGGTTGGCGCCCTGTTCCTGGAGTTCTGCATCGTGCTCTTCTGCGAGGGCCGAGTGCAGGCGAAAAGGAGTTGTGCGAAAAGGGCGAAGTTGAAGAGCGAAGTTTTGGACAAATTGGAGGCTTCAGCTCCGCCGTTTCTGCTCTCCCTGTTCCTCCTCTCCAACGCCTGCGCCTTCATCTACCTTCTCTTGGCCGTCTGGCTCAGCATGCACGCCTGCGCCTCAAGAGCCTCAACTCTCAAATCCTGTGAGCCCCCCCCGCAGCTCGCACGAAGTAAATTCAGGCCTCGATCGCGTCCCATAGCTTTGGGGTACGCCTGTCCGCTCCCCAGGAAGATTTGAAAGCAGGTCGGAAGGTTTCTCTCGACGCGAGATGCTGCGACAAGGCTCACACGATTCGTGCGCCTGCCGATTCCGAGCATGAAGCAAATCGCCAATCTCAGGAGCCACTCGCAGCTGACAACACCGTTAAGTTAACATGCTTGAAACGTCGAGCTCCTGAGTCGGTATGTTACACACCTCAGTCAGAACCTCAATCCAATGGCTCAAACCAACAGCCGCGCCTTCAGGAGCAACTTGAAAGACTACGAGCGTCAGGGCGTCGCCAACTTGCTACGCCTACCGTTCCAGGAACGCTTTTTTAAAAGCCATGGTGGGTCGCTCTGTTCACAAACTAAGTCGCCATAGTATGGACCTAGAGTGAATAATATGGTCTCCTTGTAAGATGGTAGCCGAAATTCAGTGCCTAAGCAGCAACCCATTCTAGGGCGCGTGTGCGTGAGGACCAGCAGGACTGGCAGCAGGCCGGTGACTTCGATGAAGCCAAGCCATGAGATCGTAATAGTACTAATAGTAACAAAAGTAATAAAGAGTACTAGATAGTACTAATAGTAATAGCACTTGAAGTAGTAACAGTAAATAGTAGTAATCATAATAGTAATAAGACGGAATCCCTGAGACCGGCAGTGAAGGTTCACGGCGCCGGGGAGTCACAGGACCCGCCCAGAGCCCTGGAAAAGTCTTACACGTATTACGTAGTACTACCATTTCTGCCATTACCACCGTATTACTGCCAGTATATCCACATTAATTAGTTGTATTTCCATGATTTCTATTCTTGTAATTCTCAATTTGAATCCCTTGTGCTGGTGCTATCAACGGATTTTGGCGTCATGTCTGCAGTGCTTCAGGTCTGGGCCCTCTGAGGAGAAGGCGCCTAAGGCCCCGGAGTCCCTGGGGCCGACGCCACCTCCCACAGCGCCGTTGGGCGCCTTTCTTCCTGCTGAATCTCAGCTGGGGATTTCCGAAGATTGGGGTGGTAATTCTCATCTCAGGGGTTGTTCAAAGGATTGTAGCATCTTGGGGTTTATGTTGGGGTTTACCGTTTCCTCCTTTGCAATTTTGGTGGCTGAACTCCGAGGCCGAAGCAGAAGCGAAGAGACGAGCGCCCCGAGGCGTCTCTGCTTCTGAAACTTCCCTGGACCCTCCAATGTAGTTTTTTTTTTTTTGGGGGGGGGGTTTGGTATTAAGACTCTTATTAGAACTACCCACAAAAAGGTACTACATTGGAGGATCTAGGTAGATTCTGGGAACCTGCAGGAGGAACCCTTAGTGGGGACCCTGTAGGTTATGAGAGGTAATACGGAGAGTAGATTGTGGCTTGACGAAGGTTTCAGCGACGACCTTGGGCAAGCCCGGCACTTGGAAGTGTAGGGTTCTGATGCTGTGAGTCTTTCTTTCCCTCCCGCCATCCGAAAATGAAACTTGAGGCCCGTAGATGCTGGGGGCCAAGACAGCCCAGACACGGGATTGCACTTTGCATGTCTGGACGTTCATGAAGTGACCAAGTACTGTCTCTCCTGCTGTCAGCTACATGCTGCTGCATTCTGATTACTGAAACGCGGTAAACTGTGGTACTACTGCTTCTTGGCGACTACAACTACTTACCAAGAGCTTTCAATCACCAAGCTGCCCCACCCTTTTCGTACCAAGCGTTGAAGACGCCTTGATGTCTCAACACCTCTGCGGTGATTGTTGCCTCCCAGTGCTGCGTGCATCTGCGTGCCCAACCTTCACAACCACCTTCCCATCTATGGAGCGCTCACACGAAGAACTCACTTTTCGGTTTGCCTCTTGGCATATTTGCGTTTCGTGCAGGCTTCTGGCTCCTCGAGCCTTACCTCAGGCCACAGACGAGAACATGCTGGTCTAATGTCCCAAATTGTGTCTGACGTGATCAGGGCAGAACCTGCTGCCTGAGAGGGAAGAGACTGTCGTTGGTGGCGAGGAAGGGTTGCGAAGGGCAATGAGGGAGACGATCTGATTCTGGAAGTCTGGCTGTTGTTGGGAGGATCTGCTGTCGTGCTCAAGAGGAGCGCAACCAGAACGTTGAGCGCTTAAAACGCCAGTGACAGTGTGCTTTGGGGACCCAAATCCTAAAACCAAACAACCCTCAGCCCTTAAACATGACATAAAACTCTAAACCCTAGAGCTTTGGAGCTCTTACCCCTACAGCCCTATAGCCCGAAAGCCTTAACCCCCAAACCGCACAACACTTAGGGCATAAACACCTTATAAGGCCACGTCCAGCTTTTCAGGCAGCTACAGCCCTCCCGGCGCTTTGAGACAAAGGGAACTTTGCTTATTGGTGGTTACACGCCATATGTATGTATATATTATATATTTATAGGTCTAGGTGGAGTACAGCAATCCTCACTGGAGATGAAAGAGGCTTCCATGCCTTTGCCAGGTCTAAATGGCAGTGTTACGATGCCTACTGCAGGGTCTGCATGGGTTTGGGCCTGGTCCTTGGTATGTGGAACAGGACTCTTGACATCATGGTGCATTTGTTGCTTTCTTATGTTCTGATGGCAGGTGTAAATCAGATTCTCCAGGGCCTGAGCTACTACTGCATCTGCGGCTGCCTCATCTTATCCCCTCAGTGACTGACAATGCTCTCTATCTACCTGATGTCCTGATGTGGCTGTCTGATGTGGCTGAGCAGGTCACACGCTGGTGGAGAATCATTCGCCGACCACGGGCTATGCTTTGGTGACGCTCTTCCAGCCTGCCCACCATGGTGTTTTCAAGCTCGCATGAGCTACTGTCGATAATTAGGTAACTACCGGACATCGGGGTCCCTTGATTCTAGTATAGTCTTCAGGACCCATGTCGAGGAATTACATTGGAATTCTGTGGCTTTCAGCTCAGAAGAGCTCCGGGTCGCCCTTTCGGTTCCTGCCAGGAGCACGACCATTGCGCTGGCAGTCCTAGATCTGGTAGGGCACCAAGCCCTCACAGCGTTTTGTGCTTCTGGGCGTTCTTTTCTGAGGCCGGCCTGAGGAGGAGGGAGATCCTTGCAGTTCAGGCTGGGAGCAAAGTTTTTCAGGGAACTTTGTGTAAAGGGGTGGGATTGGGGGATGCAGCCTCAAATTCTACCTTTCCTCATTTCGTCCAACCCAGGAAATCTTATGTCAGTACATGATCAGTTTGGGGTTAAGCCGACAGGATGTAATTACTTCGGTGCGCTGGACTGCTTCCCACTGTCCACTGTCATAGTGGGACGACAAATACGACAAAGTCTGAGCCTCCGGCTGTGATAGTGGGAGGCGAGGGCTAGCGACGACAGCGCTTGAAGAAATTTTAGGTTTGCAGTTCGGGCCCTGAAGGGTTTTATTTCGACTCAAGGCCCCATGAACATCCAAAATGGGTGTTTCCTGAACCTCTAGCCCCTTTGATATGTATTCTCGCTTGCCCCCCCCTGCCGCCCAAACTGTATGTCCGGATAAAATCCTGCGGATAAGCCCCCGATGTATGTCCAACCCTAATATGTTTAGACACACTGGTTCTTGAGATCTTATTTCGAGGTTGGCTACACGTACGTACCCTCATTGTAGCCCATTCTGCTGATGCCGACTGTAGAATCCTGATCTTCTCCTTCCAAGGTGGGCCCAACCCCATCACTGATTCTCAGAGCGAGGTGGTGGGCATCATGCCCTGCTTGCTGACAGCCTGGGGAGTCGCACATGGCCACCGCAGGGACCCAAGCATGGAAAGGTATTGCATAGATAATCTCCCCTCTCTATTTCTGCAATGAAACGGGTGCTCACGAATCCTTCGGCAGTCTTGAGGAATACAGGGCGGTGTCCTGGATCCTGCGCAGACGCCTGGCCCTTGGTTTGTGATGCGGGCGGAGGATGCGGAGGATTGGGAGGGCACAGGTTTCATTGACATTTGAGGTACATGCTGTCGCCACTGAGCTTCCTCTGCCAGGTGGGTCACCTTTTTTGCATGCTGAAGCCGGCTGGGCCAGAAGTTTGAGGTGCTTTGGCTGGAGCTTTGGCTACGGGTCGCTGCCCCTCATGGCGAAGACCAAGCAAAGCGCGCCCTTTTCAAACTGCTTTCGCCAGCTTTTGCCAGCTTTCGCCAGCTCATGACAGGCTGCCGCGGCGCTTTCGACAGGTCTCGAGTCTGCAAGAAATGCTGTGGTTTTGATGTGTTTGATGCGGTTCTGTGGGTTTGGGTTTGGGCAGGTGCTGTTCCTCGACGTCTTCGGCGACTCCTCAGGCAGAGAGCCGGCTCCAAAGCTCTTGGGGAAATCTCAAGGGCCACCCGAGGCTGGGACCCGCAGGAGGGGGACAACAACTGCGAGGCCGCCTCCCGATTTGGCTTCAACCCGGTACACTGTCGAGAAATCTGAGGACGATATGATCGAGGGCGAGATGTTCAAGCAGTTGGGGGTCAAGGAGGATAAGGATGCGGACGAAGAAGCGGAAGAGGCCCTGTACAAAGCCAGCTTTGGGGATCCCGACAGTCTCGGGGCAATCAGGTGGCAGGCAGACCACATGTTCTTGAATGTGCATCTTAAGACTCGCTGTGGCGGCAACTCAGTAAGCCCCGCTTCCTTCAAGTTTTCTGTAGCGAACCTGCTGTTCCTGAAAGCGAAACGCTAAAGCAAGGAGGACGTCCTTCTTTCGCCAGGCTTTGCTCGCCGCAGCCCAACGGGCGGCCTCACAACTGACAATGGCTCAGCCGCTTGGATTGGATAGGTAGGGATGCTTACATAACCTTGCAAACACATACGGGGTTGCCATACATATGGGGGCCTCAGTACATTCACAGACCTCAATACTCTGTAGTCTGTGTTACAGGTATCCCCACCACCAACAAAAGCGGGAAAGCATAAGGATGAACTCGCGTTGCATGAGCTTTTCGAAGAGGTGTGCGGCTCGGCGGTGGAATGCCTCGCCATCCTGGGCGCTCTCGAAGCAACAGGCGAAGGACACACGCGCCTGCTCCCGCTGCCTTCTTGTTGGCTTAAGTTGGTATGCTGGCGGGAGGATCTAGACGCGGTGCGGGACCAGCTGAAGCCTGCACGGCTATGTTAGCTTTTCGTCTTGGGCAGTTCTGATATCAGCTTGTTTCTATAGCCATGGACCTTGCCAGGAACTGGGGCAGCACAATCTACACCGAGCTAGAAAGGTGTTGTCGCCTCAGTGGGCAGGCGACTTATCCTCCCCCAAATCTCCTTCCCTTCGGGGCTCGGCTTGCCTTGGCCTTCTGAGGATCCCCGAGGCACTGCGCAACCTGGAGCGGGATCTCCGTCCATGGTCAGCCCAGTTTTGTGTTCACATCTGGTAGAAAACAGATTTTCTCTTGAGAGAAGGTCCGAGCTTTCTGCTGAAGAGCAGTCTGCAGACCCTTTTGCTGGCTGCCTGCCAGCCACCCAAAGTCAGTCTGGAAAAGCCTCGGGTATTTCGCCGATGCTCTCAGGGTGGGTCCCTTCGAGCACGATGACGGGTACAGGACCTCGATCTATCATTTCGAGGCGCCTGCGGACGGCTGGATGCATGTGCTGCCCATCATCGAGTTCACCTTGCTGCAGATCGAATCCCAACGAACCCTCTTCGAAGATGCGGCCCGAGAGTGTTGGAAGCTCGGGCAAGCTTCACTTCTTCTTCCTCCCAATATCTGTTGACGCCCAAACGCGGATCTACCCGATGTTGGAGGCTCCTCAGTTTTGTTCAATGTCACGAATCAAGCGCTTTGGAGATCTGTGACCTGTGATGCTGCAGCTGTGGTCTTTTGATTGGGAGGGCTGACCAAGAATTTCGTGAAGCACTGAAGCATAGATCCTGCAGCCATTCGGCAGCCATTCAGCCTCGAGGGCTCCCCCTGCGTCTTGCCGCGCTTTTTCTGGCCATGTCCCGACGGCTCCGACGCTCAGGACGGACAAAAACCCTCCCAGGTTCTGAGAGAATTCTTTCACAACCGGTGCAGATCGGTGCAGATCGGCGCAGTGCAGGTGTCCTCCTTTTGGCCTTGGCCGTGTTGGCCCATCAGCTTTCAAGGGCTTTCGTGCAGGCAGGCGTCTCAGATAAAGAGCCCTGAAGCCATGTTTTCCACGAATCTGCGAGAAAAAGGCTCACGTTTCTTGAAGTGTCTTTCTGCGGGGCTTCCAGCGCCTGGTGCCAGCGCCTGGTGCCAGGTAGGGCGACGAGGAGCGAGCCTCGCCCGACATGGGAGAGAAGCAGAAAGAGACAGAGAAAGAAATGATGTTTTTTTGTGTTTCGAAACATGCTCTCAGCCTCTCAGCATCCTTTGAGGCTAACTGCCACCCTCTCCCTGGCCTCCCTCTCCCTGGCTCCGGCCGCTGCCAGCGCCGTGGACCCCTGCAAGGCAAGAAGAGTTCGGGAGGGGGAAGAAGTTCGGAAGGGAGAACAGGGTTGGGCGCGCTTTGCGTGCTTTGCATTGTTTCGTTTGAGGCGGGCGCCAACAACTGCTTTTCCACCTCCAGCGGAATGAAGCCCTGGACTTGGCCCAAAGGAAAATCCCGCGCGGGGCCGAGCGTCAAGAATGGCTTACACACAATCTTCTTGGACTTCGAAAAGCGCGCGTAAAGAAGGAGGGTCCATGGAACGTGCACCGATGCTGTGAGGTGCAGATGCAGTCCAGGAGCTTAGGACTGCTGAGCTGTTTGCTGGGCTGGGGGTTTTGCTTTTGTCATGGCTTCTGTCAGGACAGTGATTGAGGCCTACCCCAAGGCATTGGCCCTATGCCTGGGTTTGCCTCTGACGGAACAGCTGAAAATGCCAGGCCGGGCAGGACGGCGTGGACCAGGGCGGCTGGTCCTTTGCGGCTGGGGCACCAAGAACCACCGAGCCGACATATGTCATTGCCAAACCTCATCAGACCTCACGGACCTCACCAAGGGTCAAAGTTTGCTTGACACCCAGGTCGATGACCTCTCCACAAAAGGCCAACCTGACATCTTGCGCAAGACTGATGGTCGTGGCTTCGCGCATTTGCAGTTTGCCAGGCTACGCACGGCTAGAGTTCTTGTCGGGTCGCTTGGCCACCAGAATTCAGGATCTAAGTCATACATCGGCATAACCACCAGGCCTGAAACTGCTGTTGGAGGCATTGGAAACTTCGCCAAATTCTTCAACGGCGGCAAGCCCTTTGTGGATGACTCTCGCCTGAGACTCCTGGGACGTGGGAAGTTGCCCACCCTTTTCACAGCAACGGCTGTGGCCGCTATGATTATGTCAATATATATATATATATGCAACCCCCCCCCCTTCAAAACCTACCTTTTATCAGCAAA